ATCTATCTATCTATCTATCTATCTATCTATCTATCTATCTATCTATCCATCCACCCACCCATCCATCCAGACAAAGAAAGGAATGGTTGGGTTTCCACACCTTCTGAATCAGCAATATTTTTCTCCACTCTTTCAGAAATGCTCGGAACGTCAAAATCTGATCGTTTCCGTTTGATGCTGTTGGGATCCACTTTGGGAAGGATCTGGCCTTTTGCATGCAGTTTCTTGATTGCTGCCATCTAAAAAGAATGCCGTTAGAAACCCACTCAACCATTTTCATTAAATCTCGTACAAAAAACAGCACGGCAAAAGGACGTCCCATCCCGAGCAACGCTGGAACAAGGCCTTTTAGAAACCATCATTTCTAAAAAGTGACACATGTCCCAAAGCTCACAGATTTCCCCCCCCCCCACACACACACCAGTTCAATCTGTGAGATTATAGGTTTCAACAAGAAATTTCAATCACCCAAAGTGCACCACGTTATCTTACATTTTCCCTCTATGAACAAAAAAAGAAAAAAAGAAAAGAAAAATGAGAAAAAAGGCTTGTGCCATTTAGCATCCAATTCTCCATCTGTGTTTCAAGTAGAAGTTTTGGGGGGATTCTAGAAGAAAGCCAATTAATATGTAATAAGTCACTGAAATGAACGAACAAGCGAGCGAATGCATTGTTTGGAGAACGGGCAGAAAATTTATTAAAATGGCAAAAAAAGTGCTGGGAAGCAAGATCTTAAAAGGGCTACCTATAAATCAATTCACCCTTCACTGTATATATTACAATTAAGGAAAGAATATAATATACACGTTGATTTTTATAGAGTTTAAATATTGATTATTCCTTTAAATTAAAGATAGGTTGTTTGTATTGTATTTCTGCTTCTCTACTTGAAATAAGTTGGAGGTCACTTTTGTTATATATTTGATGGATTATTTTGTCACCGTTTGCAGCCTGTTCTGTTATTCTCCTCCCTGATTTTCCCTTTATGCTAGCTTGTATTTTTAATATTTGTTATATATATGTGTGTGTTGTGACTGAAAGGATCGATCCTGCTGTGAGTTTTGATTCTGATGACTCTGAGGATGAAAGGCTGGAGCCTGCTGAGAATTTGGAGTCTGAATTGTTAGAAGACACAGATGTGAGCCAGGGGGATGAGAGGTTATCACACAGACATTCTTCGCCTGAACCCTCGACCTCATTCATGCCTGCAATTGAGCCACAAAATGAGTCAGAAGAGTCCAGCGAAGAAGCTGACAGATCGTGGCTTGATGCCAGAACAAGGAGGCTGAAACGTCAAGCTGTGGGGAGACATCAGGCCAGACGTTGATTTAGGGAGATTGACACGCCCATCTAGGTGGTTTATGGAGGCAAACTCAGTTAGAAGGGAGGGCGAGTCAGTAATTAGCACGTTGCCTCAAAGTGTATAAAAGAACACAGCTGTGTGGGGGAAGATTGTCAGGAACAAAGTGACTGATTACGTGCAGAGGTTTTTCAGCAGAGGCTCGGAGCTTTGAGAATTTGTACCAGGACTGTTTTGATAAACAGGGCGTGTGGAATATAATCTTGTAGAACTCCTTTCTGTTGGATTTAAGTTTTGGAACGGCTGCTTTTGGTTTTGTGTTGTTTGAACTCTGAAGGGGGAGCCATAACATATGTGTGTGCGCACACACACACACACACACACACACACACATATATGTAGAAGACAGAGAGAGACGTAGGTAGATATGTAGATAGATAATATGTAAGATAGATAAGACAGATACTGGTAGATAGAGATAGATATAAATATAGATAGATAGATAGATAGACAGATAGATGTAGATAGCTACCATGGATGGATGGATGGATGGATGGATGGATGGATAGATAGATAGATAGATAGATAGATAGATAGATAGATAAACTCTTTCATTTTATATCCTGCCTTTTTGCACATAGGGGAGGACCAGTTGGGGGTCTCCGTTACCTTTTTGGCTTCTGCCAAGCAGTTGAGTTTGGGGGCCAGAGGGGGGCAATCGTCAAAGAACAGAACGTCGTCCCCTTCAGAGAGACCCGAACCCAGTCTGGGGGTTTGTGGGCTGGACAATTGTCCAGCTTTAGGGAACTCGGCTGCTGGAGTTGGGGACTTCAGCCCAGCCTGCCCCACAGAAGAGGATGGGGCTGGGGTCTTTTTAACAGCAGGGTCCTGAAGAAATCTGCAACGAAGGATGAAAATCAGAATTATAGTTTTGGCTGAAGGAGATAAACGCCAGGAAGCATTTGCCCTGGTTTTAGCATCTCTCGGCAAGTAGAAAAGAATAACAGAGTTAGAAGGAACCTCCAAGCCCAACCAAGGGATGCTGGTTTGTTGAGGACAGTTCCCACGGGGATAAAATCCTGGTTCAGACTCTTAGTTTGTTCCCCCGTGCCATCCCTCCGCTAAACAACTACGACACTGTCACACCGTCTGGTAAGGCTGTATTCCTATTATAAAATTAGAATTCTTTAACTGGCCAAGGATGATTAAGACACACAAGGAATTCGTCTCCGGTGCAGTCTCTGTGTACAATAGTGATAGATCATGATCCTAGTCATTGTAAAAATATTTTTATCATAAAACATTAGACACAACACCTAGTGATAGTCACGGATACTAAATAAGCAACGGATTCTTCTCAGCTTTCCCATAACCTATCTCCTTATTTTCTTATGGTTATAACTTTGTTGCTTGTACCTTACAATTTATATTGTTTTATTTAGTTTCCTATGGGGACACGGTGGCTCAGTGGCTAAGACGCTGAGCTTGTCGATCAGAAAGGTCGGCAGTTCAGCGGTTCGAATCCCCAGCGCCGCGTCACGGAGTGAGCTCCCGTTCCTTGTCCCAGCTTCTGCCAACCTAGCAGTTCAAAAGCATGTAAAAAATGCAAGTAGAAAAATAGGGACCCCTTTGGTGGGAAGGGAACAGCATTCCATGCACCTTCAAAGGCATTCAGTCCTGCCAGCCACATGATCACGGAGACGTCTTCGGACAGCGCTGGCTCTTCGGCTTTGGAACGGAGATGAGTACACCGCCCCCTAGAGCTGGAAACGACTAGCACGGATGTGCAAGGAAGGGAACCTTTATCTTTTACCTTTATTTAGTTTGATTGCTTATTGATTGCTTGTTGATTGCTTATTTAGTATCCTAGGAATATCACTAGGCGTTGTAATCTTATGATTTATGAGGATTGTATTTTAAAAACAGATTTGATACAAGATTCTGAGAAACTTTCTATATAATGTAATTTTGTAAGCAATTCCACATAATAAATCTATCTGGTTTGCATGGACTCGTCCCTGTTTTCTAAGCCAAGAATGACTGATGCAATCAGCCTCTGTTAACAAAATCCATATTGTATTTAATTAATAACTATATTAATAAAACAAATAAAACTTCAAAACGAAACAAAACAAAATCCATATTGCATTTTTTTCCTACTTAGTTAAGGCAGCCTTGAAGCCTATAAACTCAACGGAAGTAGATCAATATCCAAGATTTTCCTACTCATCTGGAAGATCAACTCAAGCGGTGGCAAAAATGGGAGAACTAAAAATCCATTTAGAAATGAATTAGGAAAACAAAACAAAACAAAACAGCAGATCTTTCCTCAAAATAAAAACAAAACAAAATAAAATGTGCTGGGCCTGAGGAAATTATTTTGATCTGAATGAGCCAGAGAGGAAACAAAACATTTTAAATTTACGTAAGAATCATTGATTTGGTCCCTGTGAAAACAAGGGCTGAGGACTTTGTTCAAGAAAGCTGTGTATATAAAGTCTGTGAAAGAACAGTATGTTCTGGAATATTGTGTTCTTTTTTCTGGAATGTGCCACAACTTCTCGTTCTGGGAAAACACAATGGCTTTGGAATGCCAAGGCAGAGCATTCTGTCAGAGAAACAAAATGTTTTTATTATCAGGGAGATGTGCATTTATTGTCCAAATGTGATTTTTTTTGTGCTCCATCAGAGACAGTTATTATCTTCCCCAAAAGAGGTTGCCTAAAATTTCATACACTTGTCCAAAACTGCTCAAACTTCTCCATTTTGGTATCTTCCCATCCACCACTGCGGTTGTTAAGGGAATAATTCTGTCGTTAAATTCTGACTCATATATTATTCGATTGTTGTTTATATAAGGGGGTGAGAGATAAGTACCCTGGTCCACATATTAAACATATGGCCCGGTGGGAGGCCCATATTAAAACAACATATACCTCATAGGTGGCCAAAATCTGAAATTTAATTTAATTTAATTACATTTAATACAGCACGATTTCTGATGAAAATGGTCTAACTGAGATTTATTCTATTTTACATGTTTTATGCATTACATTATTGTATTTTCTCCTATAAGTATTGTATTTTACCCTACTCTCATTTTAAATTGTTTCTAATTTTATTGGTAATATGTGTTTGATTTTGTACGTTGACATGGCCTATAGGCTAATCAATGAATGAATGAATATACATACATACATACACACACACACACACACATACACACACAAACATAATACACACACACACTAGCTTGATACCTGTGCTTCGCAACGAAACTATGTGGTCAGGCCTAGTTTTTGGGGAGGAAAATAAGGGGGAAAAATCTGCCTCTGCCTACCAGCATCCATCGGTATTCATCTGGCTAGCGTCCTGTCAATGTGTGAGAGAGTTGAGGGCTGTTTGGAAACTGAAAGAGTATTTGCTGTGTGAGCAAGGAGACAGCAAAGAGCCTAGGCGTGGCTTAGCTCAACTGTTCTGTACTAAAGATGCTTGGTGCTGCTGTGAAACTGAGACTGAACCTCCTCTCCTCTGCTTGTGTTTTGCATTTGGAAGAGATTTCTTTCCAGGTGGGGAGGGGGAGTAGAACTCCTTAGCATCAGAGTGTGTAAATAATAATACCAGAAATACTCTAAATGCTCTGATGGGCATTTGGAAAAATCCTTTCTTAGTGAGCCCCTAGAAGCCAAGAGGAACCTATGGGCCAAATTTCAAGTTTGTAGGCTTTACGGTTCTGGAGATTTTGTGACGATGCGTGAGTGCTTTTTCGTTTTTTTATATATAGATTCACAAGGTGATGTTGTGACATTCAGAACTGCAAACACACATCCACAAACCCTGGGATCCTGCAACTGTCATAAATATGAAC